AGATATAAATAAGTGGCAGCGGCAGGATTTAAACCCAGATTCTGTCTTACTTACTCTAAAGTCTATGCTTTCAATGACAACTACTGTCTCTCTGTTAGAGACTATTAGAAGTCTTAGGGGGAAAAAAGCTCATGAAGATGACCAGATATAAATATATAAAAATTAGCTTCCCCCTTTTTATTTATAATTTGCCTTATTCCAGAAAGCATTTCAATTTGCTTAATAAACATAATCCAAGATTAAATTAAAGTAAAAAGAAGTGAGTGAGCTTTTAAAATGGCAACTGGAATGCCCAGCAACTCACCCAAGGTTACTGGGTACTAAGTGGCACAGTGGGACTTCAGACCCAGGCAGTCTGACTCCAGAGTCTACACAGTTTTACCACTCAGTAATACTTCCTCCACATCTTCTTCTATATCTATCTAAGTTTTTTTTTTTTTTTTTTTGGTGAGTAAGATTCACCCTGAGCTAACATCTGTGCCAGTCTTCTTCTACTTTGTATGTGGGTCACAGCCACAGTATGGCTGACCAGTGGTGTAGGTCTGCCCCTGGGATCCAAACCTGTGAACTCCAGGCCACCAAAGCAGAGCAGGCTGAACTCAACCACCACACCACAGGGCTGGCCCCTAATATTTATAGAGTCAACATAAACTTGGTGCTGAGCATAGCACCAAGACCTAAACTCACCAGTAGGGGACCAAGCAGAAGCTGCTCAAAGCGGGGCTAGCAGAGATACAGGCTTCCTTCATGTTTCCATAGCAGGAATACAAAGGAATGATCTAGTTTTGGTAGTTACACCAGAGAGAACTAACTTTGCCATATAAATAACTGCTGGAACTTCTCCCATACTAGTAGGTGACTATTTAGGTGATTTGTCTATTAATCAAGATATAATATTGGTATCATCTGAAGTGCTAAGAAGATTGCAGCAAAAACTTTAGTGCAGCCCTGAAAGACATTTGCCCAGGCATAAATTGCATAATTTATCACCTGGAATATTTGGATGTAGAATGATGATGGCACAAGAATAAAACTTCAGAAGACAAAGAACAAACCAGTAATATATTTGAAAGATACAGTCAGTAGACTACAAATACATAAGCTTTAATGAGAAAGAGACACTTAGACCATTTCAATAACTTAAAAAAAAAGAAAAAGACACATGGCTAGCAGCCTCTGACCCAGCCTCTCCTAACTTCGTCCTAAATAAATACAAAAATGAAAAAAAAAAGACAAATACTAAACATCACCTAGACTGACACAATTTACTGTCAGAACCTAGGAAGAAATGGTCAGTAATGCTAAGGTAGATGGAGTCAGCCTAAGAAACACAGGACTGCCTGTGCTTCGCCACATGAAAGATCTCGAAGGAGGAAGAGCTCTGCTCACCTAAAGAAAGAAGACAGGTTCTCACATTTTTAAACCACTAGATCACATTCTGGGCTTGTACCAACCAGAAGACTACGATCTGCCCCTCGGTTCTATGATGCTGCTTTTTAAGAAAGCCTCCATCTTTCAAATCCCATTTCAAAGCTTGTAGCTCCCAGATAACAGAGGCGCAGACAGCAGGGGGAGTTGTGGTGGTGTCCACCCTGAGAAGTACAAGCCGCAAAGCCTGTAAGACGGATCAAGATGGGGAGGGGAAGAACCTTGGCAGCAGGGCATGCTGGGAGAGTAGGTGTTAAGCAGAAGAAGTAAAAGAAAGTCACAAGAAGGCCTTGGACAATGGCACCAGCTCTATGCCTAACGGGTACCACGAGAGAAACTGCAGCTCTGAGAAAGGATTTCCACCAGATGGACAGGGAGCGGAGCCAAAATCAACCTACACATCCCTGTCATTTGACTACACTAGCTCTAGAGATATCTCTTAATATGAGGATGAATTAATAGGGAAAAAGTGACCTGATGCCTCTGAAAAAACAAGGTACCACAAGGTAATGGAAGGTTATCCTGAAGAGCAAAAGTCTACCTCTAAAAATAACGCACTATGAAACCCACAAGAATTCCTCCACATGAAAACTACACGAAACAGGGGCAGAAAGTCATACATAATTGGCTGAGATGAAAAGACAACAGAATAAAATGAAAAAGGAAATGGGAAACATGAAAAACAAAAAGCACAATAGCAAAATTAAACTAACAATTAGAGGCAATATGGAACAGACGAAAGTGTCGAAAATCTTATCAGTAACATAGAGTACAAACTTGAAAAGGTCTCCCAGAATGCAGAAGAAAAGAACAAAAAAATGGAAATAGTAAGAGATGGTCTTAACTACAGGGGAAAAGGAAAGACTAGCCAGGGTAAGAATAAGTGTTTCTGAGGTGAATTCAGAACAAATGGAACAGAAGCAATTAAAACTGTAACTAAAAGGGCCGGCCCCGTGGCCGAGTGGTTAAGTTCGCACGCTCTGCTGCGGCGGTCCAGGGTTTCACTGGTTCGAATCCTGGGCGCAGACATGGCACTGCTCATCAGGCCATGCTGAGGCGGCATCCCACATGCCACAACTAGAAGGCCCACAATTAAAAATGCACAACTATGTACCAGGGGGCTTTGGGAGAAAAAGGAAAAAAAAAAAAAAAAAAATCTTACAACTATAACTAAAGAAAAAACAAAAATAAACTAGAGGTAAAAAAATTAAAAGACTATATGAGCTCCCTGTGTTGCAATGGGGGGAAAATCAATGAAGAAATCACAGCATTGCTTTTACTATGAGAAAGAAAGCATTAATTTAAAATTATGTACATAGTTTACAATATATTACATAATTACATATATATTATATAAAACGAGTATATAGAGCACAGATTCCAGAGAAGGTACAATCTAATGTTAATAGGATTATTAAGTAGTGGGTACAACAGAAAAGTGAGCCTCTCCCCCTTGGAAATGAGGGACACACACTGACTTCTGAGAGAGAAACTGTAAAGTCAACACACAATGGATCTGGATATGGATGTAAAAAGTCACCTCAGAGAGCTAAGCTAGATCCCAGGCCAGAAATACTGGACTATTACCCATAAGACTATATTAATATATCTATAGAAAATGGCAAGTGGAACTGCAGTTGACTGAACCAGGAAGACTAAGGTAAAGGGAGCTACAGAAGTAAATGCTCTTTCCAGCCCTGTCTGGGGAAGAGAAGCTTTAGCCAGAGGAATTGGAGTATTCTGACCTCAAGGATGAGGGCATCCCTCACATGGAGACGGATACAGGGATCGCAGTCACGCACTACACATGTTCTGATCCCACAGGCAAAACAGCCCCTATCAAAGCCTGAAGCCAATAAACATTTATCCTACACTTTACTTATCTAACCCCTCTTGTTTGAGTCCACGGTCACGAAACAACCTTCTGATCATGATTCTGTTCCCCAGATAATTACGCCCTAAGGGAGAGAATAGGCTGATCATAGCAACTACACATTTAGTCTGTGAAATGGCAAGCCCTCATTATAAATTAATAAATTGGATTCCTGGTGGGGAAATACACTAATTTAAATGACTTTACGTGTTCTGGAGTTAGGAAAGCAATTTTAGTTTGGTTAAAGGTATGGGCTTTGGAATCAGAGAAATATGAATTTAAATCCTGGTTCTAACACCTGCCAGTTGTGTGATCTTAGATATAAAATGAGGAAAATAATACCTGTCTTGTAGGATCATAAGTATGAAATGAGACAATGCACGCAAAGTACTTAGCATAGTGTTTGGCCCACAGTAAATGACAAATAAACATTTGTTGAAAAACAAAATGAATATATGTGATCAATAAGTGGTTCTGATTATTTCAATTTGGAATTTAAATGAGCTCAGTTCATGCATATCTTCCTCCAAAAGAGAGCTCCAATCTCAGGGTGCTGGGCAAAACCCAGGATTTTGGACTTGCCTAACTCAAAGACTAGACTCCCGCAGACTTTGACAAGCTCTCTAATTCCTGCCATTCTGTAAGAGGCCTTTTCAAAAAGAGACTGACAGCCTTGTTTTAATACTCTGATACATTCACGTGGCAACCAGATCAAAGATCTAATTTTTAAAATTTTTTAAATTTTAAAAAGAGCCATCTCTAGGTGGTGGGATAATGAATAACTTTTTTCCTTTCTATACTTTTCAAATTTTCTATAATACAAACAAAAAGTTGCCTCTTTTATTACCTAAGTAATTTTTTTAAGCTCTCTCAAAAACTTTGGACAAAAGATAAAGATAGAAAAGAGAAGATTAAGCTGGAAATAAGGTTTGGCACTAAAATGCATTGAGTTAAGGTTCTAGAATTGTGGTCAGGGTCTATAGGTCTGCTGAGGGTATAGAGAGACTTTGTTCCTAAGTTTTCTAGCAGCCGTTTAAAGAATCTATGATCACTTAGGAGACCCACAGTGTCTGTAAGACAAAAATAAGAGTCCAGGAGAAGCACAGCTATTCTTGTTAGTAAAGCATGAAAGACATTTTCCCCATGGGTATTTGTTAGAGTATTTCTTCTCTTATCTTTCAGCAAACGAGTGGCATAATGCCAGAACACCAAGAATCAAACGTACGCTCTGGACTGATTCAAGGGGGCTATTGTTTCTGAATTATAAAAACAAAACAAAGTAAAACCAAAACCTCGTCTGCAGTTAATTTCTCCCCTAAAGTGGTCACATAGCCACAAACTCTGAGAATATAGTGTTAGATGTACTTTGATATGACATAATTTTCCTCAAGACAAAATAACACATCAACATGAAATACCTAAAGACAGTGCCAGGGAAAAGAAATAAAACCTTTAAAAAGGTTGGTTTTTTTAGGCAACATTTTTTTAACCAAATGAAAAGAATATTTTAAGAACTTCTTACTGGTAGAAGGAAAAGACAACCTTCTTCGCTGGAATTAACTAAGACCTCACATTACTTGTCTAGTTTAAGTCACAAAATGGTTTAAAAAGAGAAGGCAGAAATGTCCAGTTGTATATTTAGGAAGAAATATATGTCAGTATTTTTATTTTCCTACATAAAATATGGTCTACATCTTACCACGTGATTCCATTTTCTTGGTAATTGTATCTGGTTGTTCATCTAAGAAGAAATCTGGTATGAGAGGATGGCCTGAAAAATTGACGCCAAAAATAATCAGTTTGATGTAACAACTTCAATATATATTAAGCTTTTAACATCTGTTCGATAAACATTACATCTGTTTTCATTTTACTGAGCATTCTGGTGCAATGGAAAAGACCCCCACGGGAACTGTCAAACTACCTGAACTTCATTAAGCTAAAACACTTCTCCCATAATCCACCTACCCTCCTCTCCGATGGCAAATTTCATCTTTAAGATCCAACCAAAGAGTCACCTCTATGTTAAACCTTTAACTGCTCTCCCAGGAGACTTTGCCCCCTTCTCATCTATCTATACAACCTTTCCCTCCAAAATGCTCAGCACTCACTTCTTACCATCCCCTCAGGATGATACACATGTAAACACGTTGCTTCGTCACCTAGAAATTCAATCTAATGAATAATATTTAAAATATACTATAGCACAAATAAATATAATTCCCATTAATGGCTATATTGTATATTATTTAGTATATATTTTATACATAAAGTAAAAATGCATTATCATCACCAACATCCTCCTCCTTAATTACAGACAGGAAGAATTATTTTTGAACAAGGGGGCCTTCTGAGAACTTCTCAAATCACACTCTCGTACTCAGGACAGCTCCTGCTCACTCTCCTGCACCATCTACCATGAAGCTGCGTTAAGAGACTGCACTTAAGAGACAAACATTTGCAAAAAGCCCATCATCTTAAAAAGTTTCTGTAAAAAACCCACTACTGTATCATGTTACCATATCCTTGAATAAAATTTTTACTCTGTGATTTTTAAGACCTACTTAAAAACTAATTTTCATTCTCGGCTTCAAGATCTGGAAATGGCTAATAGCTGATGTGATCGTCTGCATCTGGATATCACTTAAAAAGCCCTCAAGTCACTTCTGTTTTTCCTTTCTCTGTTTCTAAAGTTGTGCTGTTACGGGTTTTTCTCTTCACTGGGAGGACAGCTTCTAAAAGAGCATATTAATTTTATAATCACAGACACACACACACACAAAACAGATGTGTGTTCATTGCCGAAAATCTGGGAAAACATCACTACTTTTAAAAACTATAAGCATTACCTGGTTTAACTGCATAGATGTCAAAATTTTCTACGCCTTCATCTTTTAAGATATTTTCATCAATAACAAAGTTGCCGGTAAAAGTTTTTGGCCTTTTGAAAATGGAATATGCAGCATCTGCAATGATGTCAACTTTTCTACATTGACTCTCAATGCCAGAGCCTCCCAGCATATCCATAGCAGCAGTGTGTATGGCTGTAGAGAAAACAAACGCACACGTCTGTAACTCCAAATCAAATAATAGGACGTGGAAGTAACAGAAAGACAGCGAATCTCTTTATATTTCTCAGGTGATGAAAACAAGGTCGAGAGAACTTAAGGGATTTGCCAAATGTTCTACTGACATGACTGGGTAGGAAACCCAGTTCCTTATTCTACACAACACTTCCTTGTACAGAACCCCTTCATGAGACGCACAGCAAAATTTGATTAGATTTCTGATTTAGAATGCTCAAGAATCCGTATATCATTCTTTTTTTTAATGTTCTTTTTTTTTAAAGGTTGGCACCTGAGCTAACATCTGTTGCCAATCTTTTTTTTTTACCTTCTTCTCCCCAAAGCTCCACAGTACATAGTTATATATTCCAACTGTAGGTCCTTCTGGTTGTAGCATGTGGGACGCCACCTCAGCATGGCCTGACGAGTGGTGCCATGTCTGCACCCAGGATCCAAACCGGCAAAACACTGGGCCGTCCAAGCAGAGCACGTGAACTTAACCACTCGACCACGGGGCTGGCCCTGCATATCATTCTTGAGAGTCAAGAAAGCCAGTAAGGTATAATAGAATGAACACTGAGCTATAAATCAGGTGAGTGGAGTTTTTATGCCAACTATGTCACGACTTTCGGCAAGTCACTTTAACATCTTTTGGACTCAGTTTCCTGTCTCTAAAATATGGAGCTCCCTTCCTTAGTTTATTGTCCCACCCTCCCCTCTCCTAGAATATAGAGACTTTGTTCTTCCTGTCCATCACTGTACCCTCAGCACCCAAAACAAAGACAAATGCACCATAAACACTCAATAAATACTGTTTGGATTTTTGGGGGTCCCTATTAAGGTCAGATACTGCTTTTATTTAGGGAAATACTAGAAAATAAAGAGCAGCAAAAGGAAGAATTTTTAAATTATCTACAATTCCCTGACTCAGAGATAATTCTCTCCACACCATTGTTGAACTATCACTTAAAGTCACTACACACTGGAATAAAATAATTCAGTCCATAAGATGAAAAGTTTATAGTTTTTAAGAGCCACTGACCCTTTTTCATTCATTCAACAAAGAGTTACTGAGCGCTTACTATAAATCAGGCACTGTTGTAGGTATTGGGGACAAATGAGTGGACAAAACAGACAAAAAGCCCCTACTCCATGGCAATGACATTCGAGAGTCCATCTCTATTTCAAAAGAGTGCACAATTAACTAGGGGAGTTTCCTAAAAGCGCTGAGGTAGAAGTTTCTACCTTGTAACTGAAGCTCCTCTACTAAGAATAAATTTTTTTTTTTTAAGATTTTATTTTTCCTTTTTCTCCCCAAAACCCCCCAGTACATAGTTGCATATTTTTTTTTAGTGTGGGTCCTTCTAGTTGTGGCATGCAGGACGCTGCTTCAGCGTGGCCTGATGAGCAGTGCCATGTGCGCGCCCAGGATCCGAGCCTGCGAAGCCCTGGGCCGCCGAAGCGGAGCGCACGAACTTAACCACTCGGCCACGGGGCGGGTCCCTGGTCTCTCTTGAAGTGATACTTTATTAATAAAAAATAGCAGCTAACATTTATTAAGTGTGCCCTGTGCTGGGCCTGGTGCTACATACTTTCCATACATTATCCGAATTAATTCTATGAGGTAGGTATTATTATGATTCCTATTTTACAGATGAGAGCACTCAGGCACAGTGGGGTTAAGTAACTTGCCCAAGGTTGCAGGAGCTAGAATTAAAACACCTGGCAGTTTGACTCCAGAGTCAGGTACTTGGCCACCATGAGACTAACGAGTCATACCTTGTTAACCAACATGATTAGAGCTGGTTATCATCTCACTCCCATAAAGTACAGAATTTTTCTGTAAATATTTCAATATAGTCTACATTGAGACTATATGCATATATATATATACTCCAGTCTCAATGTAGACTATATATAAAGGGTATGCAAATTCTTAAAAATCCTTAATTAAGAATATGTCATATAAGCATACACACACATAACATAAGAACAAGGAATGGTTTTTCCAAACAACCTATCATTACTTTAATGATCTTTCTATGGAAGATACAAAGAAGGCACAAACAGACATTCAAAATCAGGAAGCAAGCCATAGTTATTCTCTGCAACGTTTTTGCAATGGTAACAGGCTAACCCAAAGGTTATAAACCTGACGACAATAAAAACAGGTTTGCAGTGGGATCAATCAAACGAAATTCACTGATTATTTCTAGGTAAGAAAATAAGCAAGATTTATAATGAAAGCTGATATGCCTTGGATCACAAGGATCCTAAAAGTGACCCTAAAACTTAAGTCTCATTAAGGACTAATAGGAGAAGTATCTAATAGCTTCTGATTGATTCTCCTGATTACAGCTTGCTCAGAAGAGACAGGAACAAGTCTTAAAATCAATCAAAGATTTCCTTTCACATAAATGTGTGGAGTGCATATCAGGCTTCAAACACCAGCATCACCATTGACTCCTTTCTCTTCTGGAGCTTGTCTTACCTCTTAAACGCCTGCCAGCCTCCACCAAGTGCACCTATATATTCTCGTGTGTACTCACTGAACCAAAGATACCATTGATTATGAAGTGCACCACTAAAAGAAAACCCCAGCAACTAAACTACAATACATCATCAATTAATTATAAGAACATCCTGATATCAAAGATGTAAAAATGTGAAAACATGGGCATCTCAGAATCAAGGAAATAGGGTATAAATTCCTGTTTAACCTAGTTGGCAAGAAGGTCCTTTGAAAAAGAGGGAAACTAGTTTTGGCTTCTAGCACCAGAGAGGCCAGCTGCCGTCTTGTCACTTTGACCTCCTTGGTTAGCTGAGTTCCCAAGTCCATGCGAAGTGTAGTCCAGGTCACAGAGGACTGCAGCTGTTCTGTGAAACTTCTGTGATCTTCCTCTGTGCTGCCATTACCAGGATTAGCAGCTGCCATTCCCAGACTCCTCACCCCAGCTCACACGAAATCTATCCAAGAGTGGACTCTCCTCCTCTGCCACACTTGTTCTGACCAGTCAAGAGGTAAGAGGCAGCAGGCATTTTGAATAGCAGCGCTCATCCCTACTCCCCTCCCCTGCTTCCACTTCAGCAGAAACTAAAAAGAAAAAAATTATTCTTAAGGTGACCGAGTTGGGGGCCTGAGATCCTCATGTTGTGAAACTACTAAAGGCTCGCTCTCTGATCCCTTCTCTGGATGTGTTGAATTCAGTGCGGTGAGAGTTCTAGACCCAGGAGGGGTAATACAGCTGGTGGCGAGAAGGAACACCAAGCCAGAGAGGACAAACAGTGGACCAGGACTCTGCTTTCATTGTGGATAACATATGTTACACCGTATCCATTCTGTTAAGTGCAATAAATCTCCTTTGCATTGAAGGGCAATAATATTGGGAGATTACTTCTGGTTCCAACAAGTATAAAGAGAGCGCCACTCTACGCAGTCTAGGAAGAGGAAACGTGTCTTTTAAATAGAGGCCTCACAAACACCCGGGAGCCTGGACACCCTCTCAGATCTGTTTTCATCGCTTCAATCAGGAATAATGCAATATTCTAGCTAGCTTTCCTGCCTCCTCTCTCCACAATCTTACAAGCCATCTTATATTCAGATGCCAAATTAGTTCCTAAACCTCATCATATGGTTATATCACTCGACAGCTCCTATTTTCACTCGGTTTATTATTGTTCTCCTGCTCCTAAAATTCTCAAGTGGCTCTCTCTCCTGAATATACGTTAACATTCAAGCTCCGAGACTTGGCGATCAAGACCTGGGGCTCAGCTCATCCATCTCCCCCACAGCCTCACATCCACTCAGCATTCCGGTCAGCCTGAACTACTTGCAGTTTCTCAACTTCAGTGAGAAATAAAAAGCACACACAGTATCATGCACACACCGTAACAAACTCCTTGTAGTTCCACCAAACACATAGTATCTTCCCATGCTGCAGCCTTTGCTGTTCCCTCTGCCAGGAATGCCTTGCCCAGTTCTCCTTGCTAATTCCAACATCTCCTTGAGATTTCATTTCAATTGTTCCATTAGAAAACCTCTTTTCCTGACATTTAATCTGAGCTACACGGCCCTCCTGCTATGTTTCAAAAGTATTCCGTTCATAATTCATCAAGCCATGTATCACAAGGAGCATGACTGTCAATTCTATTTACTGTGCCATCAAGTCTAGGATCCAAATGATATCAATGGTTCCATTCCAAGATGTCTAGTAAAGCTTCTAAAATGAACATCTCAAAGCTAAAGCAAAGATCCAAGCACTGAGCTGATTACTCCCACTGATCCTGATAATAATGTCCTCCATATTCCCTGTCATTCAATGCTCTCTCTCTTTTTTTTTTTTGAGGAAGATTAGCCCTGAGCTAACATCTGATGCCAATCCTCCTCTTTTTGCTGAGGAAGACTGGCCCTAAGCTAACATCCGTGCCCATCTTCCTCTATTTTATATGTGGGACGCCTGCCACAGCATGGCTCGCCAAGCGGTGCGTAGGTCCATACCCAGGAACCAAACCGGCAAACCCTGGGCCGCTGAAGCAGAACATGCAAACTTTACTACGCCACCAGGCCAGCCCCTCCTCTTTTCTTATATAAGCTTTGTTCAGAATGTCTATTCTTGGACTAGGCAGAAGTTAATCATATAGCATGTTCATTCCTTCATCAAATATTTATTGAGTGTCCACAATGACTACAATAAAATGAACAAAATACTGTCTCTAACATCAAGAAGCTTTCATTCCTGCAAGAAAGACATTAAACTATAATTATAAAATTAATAAATTAATTGCACATGTTATACGTGATGTGAAGGAGATGTACAGACTACTAAATCCAATGGTCAGTCCCCATCTGGTAAGATATATAAATGAGACTACATCAAACTAAAAAGCTTCTGCATGGCAAAGGAAACAATCAACCGAATGAAAAGACAATCCACCAACTGGGAGAAAACATCTGCAAATCATATATCTGACAAGTGGTTAACTCACAAAATATATAAAGAACTCACACAGCTCAACAACAACAAAATGAACAACCCAATCAAAAAATGGGCAGAGGATATGAACAGACATTTTTCCAAAGAAGATGGCCATTAGGCACATGAAAAGATGTTCAGCGTCACTAACTATTAAGGAAATGCAAATCAAAACTACAATGAGATATCACCTCACACACCCCCCCCCCCCCCCCCGCCCCAGAACGGCTATAATTAAGAAGACAAGAAACAAACAGTGTTGGAGAGGATGTGGAGAAAAGAGAACTCTCATACACTGCTGGTTGGAAGGCAAACTGGTGCAGCCACTATGGAAAACAGTAAGGATATTTCTCAAAAAATTAAAAATAGAAATACCATACGATCCAGCTATCCCACTACTGTGTATTTGTCCAAAGAACATGAAATCAACAATTCAAAGAGATTTATGTATCCCTATGTTCGCTGTGGCATTATTCACAACAGCCAAGACATGGAAGCAACCCAAGTACCCATCAACTGATGATTGGATAAAGAAGAGGTGGTATATATATACAGTGGAATACTACTCAGCCATAAAAAAGGATACAATCATCCCATTTGCAACAACATGGATGGACCTTAAGGGTATTAGACTAAGTGAAATAAGCCAGACAGACAAAGAAACACTGTGTGATTTCAGTCATATGTGGAAGATAAACAAACACATGGACAAAGAGAACAGATTAGTGATTTCCAGAGGGGAAGGGGGTAAAGGGGAAAGCAAAAGGGGTAAAGGGGTGCATAAGTATGGTGACAGAAAAAAACTAGATTATTGATGGTGAGCATGACGCAGTCTACACAGAAATGAATATATAAGAATGTAATAATGTACACCTGAAATTATACAATGTTATAAACCAACATGACCTCAATAAAATAATTAAATTAAAAAAAAGAAAAAGAGAGGCACAGTAAAGTGTGAGATTTATATTTTTTGACTATCGTCCACAATTAGTAACACTTTTTACCACGTGGCTAAGAATACATAATATGTACATACACACACTCACAAACATATACATATATACATTCAATTTATATGTGATGTTTATATACAAAACAAAAGTTTATAGGGACCGGCCCCAAGGCCGAGTGGTTAAGTTCGTATGCTCTGCTTCGGCGGCCCAGGGTTTCGCCGGTTCGGATCCTGGGCGCAGACGTGGCACTGCTCATCAAGCCATGCTGAAGCAGCGTCCCACATGCCACAACTAGAAGGACCCACAACTAAAAAGAAATACACAACTATGTAGCAGGGGGCTTTGGGAGAAAAAGGAAAAATAAAATTAAAAAAAAAGTTTATGAAACAATACTGACTTCTATTATGTGCAATGTTCTCTAATATTTTCTATTTTATTCCATTAGAAATAAAATAAAATTCTGGCTGCTATCTCCTAAATCAATTTCATAAACCACGAAATTGATTTCATGCATCACTAAATTGATTTCACCAATAAGTCTCCACATGCAGTTTGAAAAACATTGTCGAAGCATCTTTTTCACTCTCATCTTTTGCACCACTGCAAAAAATACCACTTTCCAGAAAGTCTTAAAAAAATTGTGCCTGTTACAGAAACATAAGGAAAATGAAGAAGCAATAAAACACGGTTCTGATCCCACACGGGCCAGGGAGAAAGGAATCTCGGTCAAATTGCAGAAGAAAGGAATTTCTAAAACTTGACTCCTGGAGTCCTTAGACGAAAAGAAAGATGGGAGACTGGAGAGCCGGCTCCAACAGAAAAGTTTTCCTAAGAGTTACACTAGCAACATGCCTCGTGTTCCAGAAACTCTCACCACAGCCGCTTGTTTCCCCAGCTTCAACATCACAGGCCACTGGACCTTTCACTACTGCTTGGAGCTAAGGAAATCCCTTCACCCAATACACAGCGGCTGGGAAGCAAAGATGAAAAGAAATCCCTCCTTTGTTCCTAAGCAGAACTCTGGGTACGTTTCACATTGCTGTGTGTGGCAGTTCAGTTCCAGAATTATGGGGCTATAATATCTTGTAAAAGTGCTGGATTAAATGTGCTTTTAACAGCCCACTCCCAGATCTACTAGATGAAAAGGCCAGAGAGGTATCCCCAGTACCCCGCACAATGATCGCCACGTGGTAACTGTCCAACAGATAACTGCTGAGTGACGGGTGACTAAAGGAAAGGATGCCAGAGGGAAGAAGAATGGAAACAAACAATGGAAAGGTCCTTTGAGGATACAAGAATACGTTACATGACACAATGGGGAGAATCAGGAAAATCTAGAATGCCAGACATTCTATAAGATAAATGACCTGGTGTTTCAAGGAATCAGTGGCAAGGAAAAAAAATTAACAGCGTAACTACTACAGATTAAAACATTTAAGAGACATATCACACAAATGTAATGTGTGGAACTTGTTTAGATCCTGATTTGAATAAACCGAGTGCAAAGAGAACGTTTAAAGGCGCTTGAGGAAACCGGAACACTGACTGGATATTTGATGATATAGAGGTATTTTGTTAATGATTTCTTGCTATGATAAGGATTTCATTTTTTTTAAGAGCCTTATATTTTAAAGATACTCACTGAAGTATATACAGATGAAAGGATAGATGACTTGGATTTGCTTTAAAACAATCCAGGGTGGGTACAGATGAGGATGAAAGGAGACGGAGGCATGTTGGCTGGCAAAACAAGACTGGCCATGTGTGGAAAACGGCGGAAGCTGAATAGTACACGGTGTACTATTCTACTGTGCACGTGCTCGTACGTATGTGTGAAAATTTCCATAATTCAATGTTCGAAAATAAAGGGCCTTAGAGATTACTGACTATAATTCCCAATTTTATACAAGGGGACACTGGGCACAGAGAGCTACCGCAGCTCACACAACTAAGAACAAGGTGAGCAATATAGAAACTGGATGACTTCAAATACTAACGGCGTTTGGATGTTTAAGAACAATCTGTTCTATCATCCCTTTACCCTAATTAGACCGCAGGCTTACCTGACAATCTGGAGGACAGATTAAATGTGTTAATTTAAAAGAAAAACTGTGATTCTGAGAGTACAAATGCCCAAAGGCTCTCACAAAAGAAAAGATGCAGACTGAGTTAATCTGGGAAATCTATTTAGACTTTAGAATCAAGGTACACATATCTGGGGCTGGCCCTGTGGCCCAGTGGTTAAGTTCACGCACTCTGCTTCGGCAGCCCAGGGTTTCACAGGTTCGGATCCTGGGCACGGACATGGCACTGCTTGTCAGGCCATGCTGAGGTGGCGTCCCACATGTCATAACTAGAAGGACCCACAAATGAAAAAACTATGCAACTATGTACAGGGGTGGGGATTTGGGGAGAAAAAAAAAAATTAGCAACAGTTGTAAGCTCAGGTGCCAATCTTTAAAAAAAAACAAAGTACACATATCTGAAGAGTACAAAGGTAGACTACTTCTCTGATTACATTATATTTATATGATTTCTTTCGCCAAACAAAATTTTTAAACCACAAAGGGCAGGAACAATGCGTTTTATTTCTTCTTTTTAATTCTCCAATAATTCCAAGTTTGAGATATGATGAAAAAGTAATGTGCAACTTTAATAAGCGTTAAGAGAGCTTACACATAGATTTTATGCTAGTTCACTATGAAAGTTTCCAGCTTGCCAAATCCACTTAGCGGATAGAAACATTTCCAGCAAATCAAGCAAGCCCTTGGTGCGTTACTACCACATTTAATACCAATGCAGCATAACATAGCAGAAGGAATGCAAGAATTAAAGTAAACAAACAAACAGGGAAGAAACTGCATATATTTAATGATGAAACAAAAGCATTCCATTATTGCCCTGCTATTATTACCATTCAACATTGTTCTAAAAGTATTCACTCATTTAGTAAGAAATGGATGGATAAGGAATTTAACATACACCAAAAGAGCAGAGACATAATTATCATTTTTTGTGATAAGACATTCAATCTGAAAAATCTAAGAGAATCTGATGAAAACTTTTTAGTATTAGTAAGAGTCAGTTTGCTAGTACATTTATAAAAGATAAAGGTGTATAGTTTTTATACATACTTTGATAATAAAGTAGAAAATATACTGGAAAAGATACTGAACACAATAAAAAATATATAAATACCTAGTAATATATTTAAATTAAAAATGGATAGGACTAGTCTGCTTCTGGAAATATGATGAATTAGAAACTCTAAAGAGTTGCCTAATTACAATAAAACTATAAACAGATATCAAACGTTTTTTAAAGCCTTGCTGGGCTCTCAAAAAAATCAAGAGAAATCTACTGGTGGAGGGGAAGAAGAAGGAGAGAGGAGAGGGTGAGCAGAGTAAAGCAAGAAAAAAAGAAACCAAGGGCAAAATTATTGGAAAGAAGAAATACATGTTATTATTGATATGGTTACCTACATAGAAAATCCAAAAGAATCTACAGATAAATTATTAGAGTAAGTTTAGAAAGGTAGTTATCAATAATTTTAATATCCAAAAGCATTTCTATACCCTATCACCAAACAGAAAATATAATTTTTAAAAAACATACCATCTAGAATTGTGGCTGCCCCAAGATGAGACTGTTAGAATACTTTTCCTTCCTCTATCTTCCCTTGCTCATACGAGCCCTTTAGAATTCAATCACTTGCTTATTTCTCCCTTCCCCAACTCATAGGTTTTACAAAGAGAGTTCAGTGCTTTTGGCCAGAGACAAATCTGAAGTCTCCTCTACAAGGTCCTTATTTGGTACCTACATTTCATATTCCCAGTTCTTATTTGGTACCTACATTTCATATTCCCAGTTCTTATTTGGTACCTACATTTCATATTCCCAGTTCTTATTTGGTACCTATATTTCATGTTCCCAGTCACTCAACCATAACCCATTTACAGTTAACCTTCTATATCACATGGTTATTTCCTTGACATTATTTCCTCTCTTCATTTCCCTTTTTCTTGGAAGTCTCTGCTCTGATTGACCTGCTATTTCATTCAGAGCCCTTCTAGAAAATTTTTCTCAAATGTGATATCCTTGCATGTCCCCTCATCTTCCTTTCATCCTGTCAGTAAATGTCATCTTGACTGGGTCCCCTCCTATCAGTAATCTATAGATATTATCCCACTGTCTTCTAGTTTCTGGTGTTGATGACAAAGGGTCTGCAATCTGGTTCTTTTTCCTTTGTAAGTAACATGTATTCTGCCAGAAAGGAGGTAAGGTTTTCTTCTTATCCTAGAAATTCTGAGATTCTCCCAGGTGTCTTTTTTCCCTCATAAATTTGACCTCAAACTTGGTAAACCCTTTAATCTACACACTGAAGTCTTTCTTCAGCGCAAGGGAATTGTTTCCTATGTTTAGTTCAACTATTGTTTCTCCCCATTTGTGCTTTTATCCTCCTTCTGGGCCTCCTGATATTTGCATGTGAAGTCCCCTAAGTCTCTTTTTTCTCTCTTCAGGGTATTTTTGCTCTGTGTTTTAAGATATTTCTTACACTTGAACTTGCAAGTTACTTATTCACTTGTTCACAGCGACCATCCAATTCTTCAATTCAACTACTATATATTTTTTAATTCAAAACACGATCTTTGTGTAGTTCCAGAAAGCATTTTTAATGCCACAATTCAATCTCTTAAGTAGCTGTTGTATTTATGTAATCAAGGTATCTCCTGTTTTCTTTAGCAGTTGTATTTCTCTGAAAGCTGTTTCTCTGGGTGCTTTGTTTATTCCTTCTGTGTTTGGATCCCAGATCCCCTTAGCTGCACCACACTTTTTCTTTGTCTCCTCATTGCTCTACTCACCCTTAGGTAATTTAAACGATGGCAAGCTTGCCCGCAGTGGCAAGTGCAGCAGTCTCTGCCCCATGAGCAGGTAACACATCAGATGTCCCAGTTGTTGAATCCATTTGGGGGCCTAAGAAGAAGTCCGCCTGGTTTCCTCACTGTCCCAGCCTCAAGGGTAGGAAATACTTATTGCACCTTTTGTGTGTTTTTTTTGTTTTTGTTTTTGTTTTTAAAGACTGGCACCTGAGCTAACAATTGTCGCCAATCTTTTTTTCAATTCTTCTCTCCAAAGCCCCCAGTACATAGTTGTATATTCTAGTTGTAGGTCCTTCTGGCTCTGCTACGTGGGATGCCACCTCAGCATGGCGTGATGAACGGTGCCACGTCCGCACCTAGGATCCAAACCAGCGAAACCCCGGGGCCGCCGAAGCAGAGCACATGATCTTAACTACTCGGCCGTGGGGCTGGCCCCTTACTGCACCTTTTGAATCCCTCTTGTTGAGCTCCTCAGATCTCCATGGGTCAAGCTCTCTCCAGGAACTTCTGAGGATTTATTCTTTCTCCAGTGCTCTCTACTGGTCCCATTCTGTCCTCCAGACCAGAGGGGAACAAAGTCCTTCACAAGTGTCTCAGTTACTTCTCTTATAGAATCAATGCCGTGCTAATTCCTTCCAAGTCCTGCCTGCCTGCCAGCCCAACAGCTGTTCCACTCAGGGGAGCGTGCAGGTAGCTGGAAAGGGAAGATGGCAAGGACATGAGTTCTAACAGGCACCTTCCCAGAAACCTTTCCCTCTAACCCTCAAATAAGTGGAAAATAGTCCAAGTGGCCATCCGTAAGTTTCAAGGAATGTACTGAAGAACATGAAGATACTTTCAAAAGGAATCCAAAAATCCCATTCATTCAGTAAATATGAGTGACCACCACGTGCAGGCCCACCATGTCTCAGGAGCAGAAACACCAGTATTGACTCCTAAGGAGTTTCCTTGGAAAAATGGCCACACTAATTTGAATGTTTAAATGTTGATGTTAGTGTAATGAAGGTCCTGTTAAATTTTTAAAAAGTGAAATTAAAAAGTGGTTCCCACCACACAATCACTTTAGGATTAAACATACTTTTCTGGAATAGGATTGCCATTTAGATTTAAGATGAAAGAAGTTAATGTTTTCACAGGCATTATCTATTAAATATATGGAAAAATGTATAACAAAATAAATTGTCTTTTCTTTTTCCTCCTTTAAGCTACTATGATATATAAGTGGAGAATAAGAACCCACAAAAAGGCTTTCCCTTTCTGTCTTTTTTTTTTTTGAGAATTAGCCCTGAGCTAATATCTGCCACTAATCCTCCTCTTTTTTGCTGAGGAAGACTGGCCCTCAGCTAATATCCATGCCCATCTTCCTCTATTCTATATGTGGGATATAAGCAAAGCTTGACAAGTGGTGTGTAGGTCTACACCTGGGATGCCAAACGGCGAACCCCAGGCCACTGGAGTGAAACGTGCAAGCTTAACCGCTGTGCCACCGGGCCGGCCCCCCTTTCTGTCATTTTGGATGGGTCTCCCTCATTTTTATACAGCATATTCCCTAACCTGCAAGCCAGCAGCTTCTGTCATACGTTTACTCTAAAGCTGCATACAAAGCCCAGCCACATGCAGGTTCTCCTGTAAGGGGGGGTCTAGGCTCTCTGTGAACTCAGAAGAAGCCACGTGAAAGTACAGATAAGTCAGCTTTTCATAAAGGAAAGAGACAAAGGTAACAAGAATATAAGAAAGTAAACAAGAATTCATTGGGATATGTGAAGAGAAAACCAAAGCATGAGAACCTGCAGAATTTAGTGAGGTACCAAGGACGAGAATGGAGAAAAAGTTAGGGAAGCACAGTTGGCTTTAATGAGACTCAGGTGTTCCGGTATTCGATGTTTCTAGTATAGCAATTGGCTGAAGAGTCAGTCCTGTAGTCCAAGTCAAAGCTAGAAGATGATTGAAAAGGGCCTTATCTGTACAACAAAAAGTTTAACTTGCTTTCCAGCAGACAGAATGGGGTTACCATTGATAGTCTACTCACTCCCACCACTACACCCACCCAAGACACATCGCACGAGTGTCAAGGGCAATCAATGAGAATCCAATAAATGGATGTTTTTTAAGTACATACCTGTTTTAGGCCATAATGCATTGACTGCAATTTCACCTTTGAATTCTTCTGCCATTCCAAGCACACACATAGACATACCATACTTAGCAATGGTATAAGCTGAAGGAAACCACAAAGAATAGTATTTAATTAAGAAACAAACTAATTTGTGGGCATAAATAACCAATTTCCTTCTATTACTATTTCTTCCCTGATACATTTTTTCAGAATTCTCTAAGAATATAAAATATACAAAATATAATTTTAAAAATGTACTGTTTTCAAAAGAACTATTTTTATGGAAGTAGCTGAACAGGAATGAACTAGTTTTATATATTTCCATTCTAATATTTTATTAAAAGAAAAGATAAACTTTCATTTTTCTCAATATAGGGATGTTATTTGTTTTTTTTTTTCTTTTTAAAGGATGAAAGTGATCATTCAAGGGAAACTACTGCTAGTAAAACCACAACAAAAGGTTACACACTTGTTTAACCTACTCAATTAAAACAGTACTTCTTTCAGTTTTGCACCGTGGGTTTCTACTCCAACTGCCTGTGCAAATTTTAGTGAATGATGTAGCAATAAGGGCTAAGTATCTGATACAACTATTTTAACGGAGACACCCATATGTAAACCTTGTCACTTAGCATACTTCCCACACAACCATCTTAAAGGAGGCACCCACACATAAATCTAGTTATTTAGCACACTCCCCTTAAGTCATTAGTTTGCTGTGAAATGTGAAGCATTTCATGGATAGTTTTTAACCAACTTCATTGAACAATAAGTTAACGTACAATAAAACACACCAATTGGGACTTGAAGGAGCATTCTGGGATGATGGAAATCCCTATCTTGATTGGCAGGTTGGTTATCCAAGTGTATACATTTGTCAAAACTTATCATCAAAGAATCATTCAGATCTGTGCATTTTATTGAGTGTAAATTATACCTCAATTTTTTAGATTACAGACAAAAGATTAAGAATCTGCTTTCCAAAATGCTACCGATTCTGCATAGAAAATTTAATGTTGAATACTATGGACAAATTATGATTCTATCATAGATATACTGATTTAATACAAAACAAATTAACCAAACAAACCATCCCCTCATTCTCCCACCTACCACAGTGCTGTTTGAACCACAGTGGGTTGAGGTTCAGTGGTGGGCTGAGATTGAGGATATGAGCGATTTTACTCTTTTTCAGATAAGGAATACATGCTTTAGATCTGAAAGCAAAAGAAAACACAAGTCAATAGCTTTCTAACACCTTCCTCACTTACATTTTAAACCACTGCTATAGAGCAAGGGAACTTGCTCAGTAATCTGAAGGGTACTTTCATTTGTTTGTTTTTACTTTTCTAGAATGAAGCTAAGAAGAACAACTAATTTTCATCCTTTGAAGCTTTGCTTAATGGCCTGACAACACGATCTGCTTGAAGAAAATAACCAAATCCTTGGCACATTAGCCTTAAATCCAACTCAACTATATCCTTCCAAATTCTCCCTCCCCGACACACACACAACTTTCAGTAACAGTTAATGTACTTGTCGGCCAGCAAAGCCAGCAGTGTGGTAAAGAACATGGGTGTTCAAGTCAGACCTGGGTTCAAATCTTCTTTCTGCCCCTTCATTGTGTGATCTTGGGCAAAACATATAGTCTTCTAATTCTCAATTTTCTCACTTGTAAATGTTGGTAATACCTGCTACCATCTAGGACTGACCAAGGGATTAAAATGAGAGGATATATATGAGATACAACAGTGCAGATACTAAACATGAAATAAACAACTGCTATTATTAGTATGACATATGCTGACTAATTTCTTCTTAGTAGGTGTGGTATTCCTACTGCATTGGAACTGCAATTTAATAATATAACTCCCAATCCATTCCCAAATTTAATTTGCACCAAAATGCAATGCAATATGTCTTTGAGAGCAATATTTAGTTTAAAAAAAAAAACTCTTCATAAGGGTATGCAAATTATTTTACAAAAGACTCAAGTCTAATATTTTAAAATTTTAATTATTAAGCTATAACATATTGTAGCATAATAATTTTATAGCTTTAAGTTTTATTTCTCATTCAATAACTTCTCGGACTTTAAACTAGTCCATTCTTCTTTCAAGTCAGTTTTCTGATTACCAAATGTACAACATTCTTGTTATCACCTGCAACACCTTTTCAAGTTTACGAACCAAATACAATCAACATCACTAAAGGGATTTTGTACATACTGCTGTTCCTTTCCAAAGATGCTTCACTTTTATGAGGGTGAGGGGGGGAGGTGCACATATTACCGCTCATATTCATTAAAATAGTGAAGGTGCACCTCAAAGCATCAATAAGAAACAAACCAAATCTATTTCAGGCAATAAAACGATATTTTACACTCGAAAGAGCTCCTCTCATTGACATTATAAACATGACTTCTCCTTTGATCTATCAGACAAACCTTTCTACCTGCACTTCGCTCCCCTGACCCTCGACAGGGACTAATCTTACATTAGGTGCATTTTCACAGCACATGCCTTATCTTATATACTATACCGAAAACTCTTAGCACCACGCTTAGAGGCTAACACATTCAGTTTAAAGACATAGTTAAGTTTATCGAAAACGTACTGTGTGCAAGGCCTTGCACTTACTACTTTTACATGAATTATTTTACTTACTCAGGGTTGCGAGCTCAAAGGCCTGTAGGGCAGTTGAGTAAATAAAGCAAACGGGGTATGAGAAAAATCAACTGTTCAGAAATATAATCGAACCTTATTACTGAATTTCTATAAGCATTTAACATGATACAAACACATACAATACTGGAGATTATGTATTTAATTAAAACTTAAAAATACAAATTAAGGGTCTGCCTTCTACCTCCCCTCTGCCTTCCAACCCTGTTTTGCTAAACAATTAAAACACAAGGCACAGGCCACAGGCCCCTGGGTGCCAGGGACGAGGAGACAGCTCCAGTTCCTTGCTGAAACCTCCAAAGAGGTCAGTTCTCTGGGCCTCACCCCCACTCTCTCCCTGAGGATGCTCCCCAGGCTTCCCTGAGAAAACAATCTATATTTATTTTCCATGAAGAAATGAGTGTCACTAAATAAAACACAAGACAAAAATTAAAATGGAAATGTTTCATTATGAACTTCTCTGTTATAACTTATACCCTTCAAAGAGGGCTAAAAACCTGAACATTCTCTTTGGTCCAAAGGTCAATGTCAGGTCTTTCATTTGGCAATGCAATATGCCTTTAACTGGGAACAATAGTTAGTTTTACCTTAAAAATAGCTGTTCATAAATGTAAGAACTTTAAACAGTGAATAGAATCTTTGCTTAAAAAAGGGGTTTTTACTTTAGGGTATCTATTCCTGAGATATCTGTAGATTTCTTATTCCAAAGTGCTCATATTCAGTTTAGAGACCTACAGCTTATATATTCCATTGTCAGTTCTTCAACTACACAAATAATTTCAATGAGAAAGGTAATTGAACACGGTTAGTTCATTTGCTTATAGTTTGAAATTAGGATTTTTTGTTTTGTTTTGAACTGAATCTTCAAATCTACAATTGTAGGGGCTGGCCCTGTGGCTGAGTGGTTAAGTTTGTGCGCTCCGCTGCATGCGGCCCAGTGTTTCATCAGTTCGAATCCTGGGCGCGGACATGGCACCACTCATCAAACCACGCTGAGGCAGCCTCCCACATGCCACAACTAGAAGGACCCACAACGAAGAAGAATATGCAACTATGTACCGGGGGGCTTTGGGGAGAAAAAGGAAAAAAAAAAAACCCTTCAAATCTACAATTGTAGTAATGTAGTTTAGGCCATCATTTTCATTTTTGGAAAATGACCTCAGCATAGGAAAGGGGCCAGATTGTTCTTGCAAGTGGATTTTCCAAAGACATAATTTCACAAGGAACGAACAATGAGAATCATACATTTGCGTTTACATAAGTGATAATGTCAGCTAAAAAAGCCAAGTCTTTGATGCAATCTTTGTTTGGGAACAGCTGAAAATTTTCTCTTGGGTGGCAAAAAGAGCTGATTTCTTTCAAATTAAAAACAAACTATCTTCAACAATACGCTACAGCCACACAGTCTTGTCACAGAGCAGACAATCACGTGTGTATTCAACATGAGGAAAGCACTGAACTGTCTGTGGTTCAACCCACGGAAGTGTATTTAGTTCTGAGAATTCATAACATAAGCCATTTTTAACTTTTTAGCAAGAGCACTTCCTAGTGAACAATACAATAAACAAACTGAATTTACGTACCTCAGTGAAACATTTCCACATTAGTGTAGATTTTCATAAGCTTAACGTTAACAATGACCATCACAGCAGCACTGTCTATAGCTATGATTACTAATTTTGACAAATCTATATTAACCCTCCTAAGACATTTCTGAACACTTAACAAGTCACTTCCTAATGCTCATATTACGGGTACCCAGTCTAAAAATTTTTTAATCACACCAAAATTCTCCTGACACCATAAATAAACATAACTAGGTGGATGGAATATTTATATCTGTGGCTTCATCACCTATATTAGAAACTGCCACAAATGATTCACCTTTCTCACATATTGTGCCCTTCTGAGCCTTAATTCAACATGGTGAGCAACAGTATTCCTGGTTGGTTTATATTTTTAAACACCTGTTTAAATGAGTGTTTACATTTAATCAAAATTCTTTCACAAAGTTTCCAGCTATAAAAGATTTTGATGCTCAGATAATTTCTTCATGTAACACATAACTGTATCACATACAACATTGCTGATTTTATTTGAAAATAAACACAAACCCTATTGAAATGTTAGTCCTTTTATAGCTCATTAAGTTTTTCACCACAATCTTTTCTATATGCTTGCCAAAGTTCTTACCATGGTTTGATTCACTACGATATACCTTACATATTGCGTTTACAGAAGTAAATTCAATAAAGTAAGCTCTCACTCATTTCAGTTGAACATATGGCCCTCTTGGCATAAGTCTCATTTTCCCACTTCAGATAGACATGGGTATGAGAAATATTTTACTTCCCTCTTTAATATAAGAAAAACAAAAGCATAAGAACAATGAACGGCAACTTGTTAGCCTATCCTCCACATTCAGAAGACAATGGAGCTCATGTCCCATCTAATGAGCCAACTGATACTGTGCCACTCAGCCATGTAGGAATGCTGTCTCTATGTGGCCAGATTTTCCAATGCTTCAAGAAAATCCAGAAATCTGCATTTTTGTGTAAATATGATTTTTTTCATGTAGGCAACTGATGGAATTTTGAATGTAGGTAACTAATAAAAACAATTTTAACATGGTGAGGGCCAAGTTTTGCAGACCCAACAAAACACAGCTGGGGGCAAAGTTTAGGACTAAGTTAACAAAGTTTATATTTAACCCTCATGACCAATCCTATGACATACTTCTTTATTATCCCCATTTTACAAATGAGGACACTGAACCTGCAAGAGGTAAGTTACTTGCACAAGGTCACAAGATAGAAAGTCATGAGGAATAGGGGGCAGGATTTGAATCCTACTCAGAGGAGTCTGGCTCCAAAGCCCAAGGTCCTAACCACCTGTTCTATTATACATATAAGGCAGATACACATAAGAGACATTTAAGGCAGACAAGCAAGTTCTATCTATCCTTATGTCTACAAGCAAAATGGTAGAACCCGAGGGTAAATAAATAAACAAATGGACACTTAAACAAAAGAGGGAACCATCTGATCAATCCAGAACAGATCAGGACTACCTTCACTTTCATTCTATATTCTATATTTCCCCTGATATTGTTCAAGATAGAATTAGCCTTTTGTCAGTTACATTAAAATGTGATTCAAAATGAGCTTTCTGTTAGTTATATAACTTAAATTCAAGTGTTCTGTAGAGGAAGGAGAGACTATTGCTGGCTTGAGTAATAAGAAGACTATGAAAGACTTGGTATGCATATATGTATTTGTTCATGCAAACATTTGAAAATGCTTGAGCTATACTTCAGTCTTTCCTAGAGTCACAGAGAAAAGGAGCTCTGAATAAACTATTTATTTACAATACTATCTGCTGCCTCGGAGTACTTTTAGGCCTTTACAAGTATTGAGCAGATTTTAAACTGTATTGATAATCCAGTTCAAATCTGTTTACAACTATTCTATGAGGAATCATTGCAACATTCTCTCCCACAACTCTAACTTACGTAAGGTAGGTGCCTCTGGTGTTGACATTCATCATCAAATCCACTCTCTTCGTAGGTGTCTCCAATGTGTTGGTCAAGCTGATAGCACTGGCGTTATTCACCAAAACATCAATTCCTGTTTTCAAATAATCAGTTTCCTATTAGTGTAACTTAAACTTCATAACAAAAAGAAATAAACACATTTACATAGTTGAACCCTAAATTGACTCACAAATACTTCCTTTAGGTAATATGACTGACCAATACAACGATGTAAGACTCAGTAGCTGTGTTTAAAGGCCCAAATGACTTTCCCTGGCACCACGGAGACAGCCAGTCCTCAGAGCTCCACGTGACGCTACGAGGAGGCTTAGTCCTTAATGGTTTGTAGCTCCCATTCTTCTCTGTTCCCTTACCTTCTGGTCTTCCTTCCCTGTCTCCAAGAACCTTAAGTCAACGTCCTTAAAGTTTTCCCTCCTCTCTAGCATCTTTCCAAGGCCTGCCCTCTTTCCAATCACACCACTCCCCCTCCTCTCTAAGACCCTTACTTAAAGGAGAGAGCTCCTTTCTGGTCTTGGGAACTAGAAAAAGAGAACAGACCTAGAGTTTCAATTCCAGGGAAATTATCAAAGTAGACCAAGTTTGTTTTGTAACCCATACACAAAATAAAATAAAATAAAATAAGTCTAGAATAACTATTATTTCTGCATAGTCTATCCAGTCCCTACCCATATGTAACATATTTTGTTTATAGTTAGGAGTTTAATTAAATATGTTAAAATGATAAAATACAAAAGTATTTCAAACCCTTCTCTGTGTTTCTACATGGACGTCATAATTCTTTCCAAAAAGCACTTAATATTCCACCAAATAGAAATATCACAATTTCTACTGCTAGGGTTAGACTGTTGCAATAAACATCTTTTGTTATCCTTGTAACTTTGCCATGCCTCCTCTCTCACAATATGTGGATAATGGTTTAAATAAGGTTATTATACTCACTGAAACACTTTAGTCATAAGCACCCTGTGTTCATATATAGCAACATTATAAAATTTTGATCACATCCTCCTTCCTCAATTTCCACACCCTTTAGTATAGAGTTTGTGTTGCTAACGTTTTCTTAAAATGTGTCCTTAGACTAGCTTTGGATTTAACTGTAATACATTTTATAGCTTCATTATAGTAAAACTCAAACTCAAGTAAATCATCTGTATATCCGAGACAAGTTCTAGGTGCTGTGACTACCACCTTTCCAGAATGAACATAACAATGCTTGCCTTCAGCAGTGGAAAAGGCCCGTGGAAAGAATTTTTAAATCTAGGACATGTTTCTCAATCCACAAAGCTAGTTGCTCAACCACATTACTAAGAGATAATCACCGAGGGCCTACTCTACACCAGCCACTCTGCCAGGCCTAAGAGACAAGATAATAGTCACTAACGAAGAAACCAGGTGGGAGCAAAGCAAATTGAGGGTCAGGGTGAGATGCTGAACTGATGGGTATATATATATGTATATATATATATATATATATACACCACCTGTGTAGAATTACCCTACTCAGGAAGTTGAAGCTAGTGAGAGTGGATCCAATCAATGGATTCTTTGGGCAAATCCAGACTTTACTGACTTCATCTCTCTCACTATGTGATAACAAGGGACAAGTATGTTAGCAGCACAAACTCTGGGCCCAAAAGCAAAGAAAGCAGATGAGGAATGAAGATATACTGATGTGGGAAATATATCTGACTTGCCAATGATAAAGAAAAAAATGGGTCCAATTTAAGAGGTAGGTTAAAATACTAAACTCAGATGGGCCAGATTAAAATGGATCAGGGGACGTAGTGGGAAATGATACACAAAAGGCATATATGTGCCAGCTGCAGGAAAAAAAAAAGGTGGCAGGAAAGAATGTTTCTGTGGTTTATGAAATAGCATAATTTGGGGCCGGCCCCGTGGCCAAGTGGTTAAGCTTGTGCGCTCTGCTTTGGCGGCCCAGGGTTTCGCCAGTTCAAATCCTGGTCGTGGACATGGCACCAGGCATCAGGCCATGCTGAGGCAGCGTCCCACATGCCACAACTAGAAGGACCCACAGCTAAAAATACACAACCATGTACCGGGGGGCTATGGGAGAAAAAGGAAAAATAAAATCTTTAAAAAAATAATAATAATAATAACATAATTTGCTCAAGGCCTGAAAAACTCTGAAGGTGAGGGAAGGCAAGGGGATCGGGAGCACCAGGTGGCATGCTCATCAACTGCTCAGGACTTTGTCAAGGACAATTATCCAGCAGAGAGAAATATCAGGACGGAGGTAAACTTTTCCCTAAAAGGCAGAACTCAAAGGTCTACGGAATTCCAAACAGAAGGCCATACCAGTAGCAACCACAGTATGGAACTGAAACCAGACAAACAAAAAATAAAGGCATGGGATCTCTGTGGAAAAAGAATACAGAAGAAGAAGAAGAGCAGGCTATTAATCGTCTCTTACAGACGGGGCATCATCCTGATTAGGAGAGAGTAGCAGCTGAGTAGCTGAACAGCGCTCACTCTTAACTCTGCATTGTTATGCCAGGAAAGCAGAGGTTAATGGGAAAATGGAAAGCAAAAACTTTTAAATACAGTAGTTCCCCCTTATCTGCGGTTTCATTTTCCACAGTTTCAGTTACCTGTGGTGAATCGCCGTCAGAAAATATTAAATGGAAAATTCCAGAAATAAAAAATTCACGAATGTTAAATTGAGCGTTGTTCTGAGTAGTGCGATGAAATCTCCCAATGTCCATCCGAGGACATAAATCATCCCTTTGTCAGGCGTATCCACACTATACCTGCTACCCACTCATTAGTCACTCAGTAGCCGTCTTGGACGTCAAATCAAATGTCAAGGTAGAATAGTGCTTGTGTTCAAGTAACCCTTTATTTTACTTAATAATGGCCCTCAAGCTCAAGAGCAGTGATGCTGGTAATTCGGATATGCCAAAGAGAAGATGTTAAGTGCTTGCTTTAAGTGAAAAGGTGAAAGTTCTTGACTTAATAAGAAAAGGAACAAAATCATATGCTCAGGTTAAGATCCACGGTAACTTTTGTTACAGCATGTTGTTATAACTGTTCTATTTTATTATTAGCTATTATTGTTAATCTCTTACTGTGCCTAATTTATAAATTAAACTTCATCATGGGTATTATGTATAGGAAAAAACAAAGCACATATAGGGTTCAGTACTATACATGGTTTCAGGCATCCACTGGGGGGTCTTGGAACGTATCCCTCAGGGCTGCAGGTGGGGAACTACTGTATAGCAAAGTCGATACTAAGGAGAGGAGGAAATCTTAGGAAAGATTCCAAAATAGAGTAACTCCATGACCAATTTGTAAATTTAGCAAGAATACAGAAGTGTTTCAGATGCCCCTCTCAACAACAGACAGCAAAATATATTGGGAGATTTTTTTCCCCAAAGATATGGAAAGCATCACCTCTTAATTGAAGATTTCTACCAGTTGAGTTTAAGTTCCCATGACACGAGTTCCAGGCCAATAATACAGATCAACAGGTATCCGAAGAAACAAAAACCAACATTTCCCTCTGTTCCTTCCATTTTCTCTGTCTACTCCTGGAAAAATAGATCACATGATAGGTAAAACTGGAATAATCCAACATTGAAGATGCTGAAGGAATGATACCAGGTCCAATGGAAACAAGAAGCTATCGTGGCTGAGAATAAACCCCAGACTACCCGTGCATCTGAGTGAAACCTCTTTGGCTGCGACAAAACAGAACAAGAAAATGCGAGAGGAGAGATTTCTAGGCTTTAATTTTCCCAAGAAAGATTTCAATTTGGGTCTTCAAGTTCTCTGTGGCAACAAGAGAAGAAATTCATTTGTGAGACTTCAATTTCCCTGTAGGAGGCTGTTGATGCAAATAATCCATAACCAGTCTATAAATCAAAATTGGGGTGAGTTTATTATGAGCCAGATCTGAGGACCATATAGCCTGGGAGTGTCCTTTCACAAAGGAATGGAACCCTCCAAAGAAGTTGGGGTTGACAGAATGGTTATATACCATCAAAGAGCATGTATCACATATGACTGGAATGTCCCTTTTACAATAGTCACGAGATTGCTTTGCTGGCATGGCTTTTCACATAGCAATTGATGAACACAGCAGGTAGCACGTCTGTGGTTTCAAGCCAGGTGGTCACAAGGTGAGCACAGTAGGCCAGTAATCAATCCTTAGTTTAGAGAGAGATGCTTATCCTTAAGGAAATGCCTATGTGGGGGAAGTTCCATTCTTATTTTTAAGGGCATTGTTCTTATCTTTGGGACATAGTAAATACTTAAAACAGATATACAATGCATGCTCAGTGGCCACCTCAGGCCCTTTTGGAAAAACAAGTTCAGACCAAATTAGTTTTACACCAAATGTCTTCCTCATATATTCCAATATATCCTTTTGCTTGCCATTTATTTATCAAGCCCAATACTGGAAAGTGGAGATCCTTCACATTTTGACAGTCAGGCATATACTATTGGGCTATGCTGTATTAGCACATACTGTATAACTCTCTCTGGTGAACCAGGCTGGACACCACAAGTAGACTTCAAATGGGAAGTTACATAGCGAGTAAATTCTGGGCCTGAACAGTATGGCCTTGAGTACCTTTAACTAATGTCCTGTCTTCACCCCTTTCAGAGGTTTCTTGGGACCATACCGGACAACAACTGAACTGTTGTTAGGACAGAAATAAAGGTTGAGCAAGGGCTCAGATGAAGGTGGGAGCAGCCTTCCCCAATATTCTGATGATCTCATTCTCCAAGAAGGATAAACTCATCCTCAGTTGATAGACACAATGGATCAACAGAAAGAACTAAAACTGGATGAATACAGGGATAGGAAAAGTTCCAGTCTATCCCCACGCACCTCCTCCCTTAATTCCTCCCTAAAAAATGAATGGATACACTAATTAAGTCCAATCCTTATTAGCACTAACTGGCCACTTTTACTAGCAGCTGAAGTCATTTTAGATAAAAGGTCTTGCACATGAATGTGGCTTCCTCTCCTTTCTCTTCCACATTTATGGCCCTATCAGTAAGAAAAAAATCAGTAAGTTTGCATTCTCTCTCCTCTTCTCAAGTGGGCATTCACATCACTTTGGAAAACGTGGCCACCTAGGGGTAAGATTTTGGATTTAAAGGAAGAGGCCCCACTTGAGCCAAAGCTCCATGCTCCAGTCCAGTATAACACAGCTCTCTGCCCTGGGGGTTAGAAGCAAAAGCCTCGCTAAGGAGACAGCACTACCTTATTCCCATTGGCCAATATCCCTTGTATGTCCATACAGTCTCTGGAATATTAGGAGGGAGCGTGGTAATGGTTTGGGTAGGATTTGGACATGGCTAGGTGCTTTGCTATAATATCATCAAAACCTTAGCTCAACCCCAAATGCCTGCCTTCTAGGAGATTATGAACTAACTGGGGAGAAAAAAGAACTACTAAGATCTAAAGCAGTACAAGATAAGGATCGAAGGAATGTTTTAGGGGTTCAGAGAAAGAAACACACACTTCTGATGAGTGGGCATGGTCAGGGAATTGGCTTCACGAAGGAGATGAGATTTAAGCATAGAAAGATGGGATTGCAAAAGACAGAGAAGGGAGCATTTCAGGAAAGATCGGAGGTGGAAGGCTGGGCACTAGAGGAGCCTCAGGAAGGGGAAGAGAAAATGCGAAGAGGTAAAAAATTCAAGGTAAGGAGATGGAAGTCAACTATTTTGGCTAGAGAAGGGAGTTTACATAGGGATCTAGAAGATGGAATCAAAAAAGTCTGTTGAGATCAGAATGTGAAATATCTTGAACGCCAATAAGTTATCTGCACTTTTCCAATAAATATGAAAAAGTTATCAAATGACAGTTAGATTAATTGGGGAGAGGCAAGTGGATGGGGTCTGGGAAACTACTTGGTTAGATGTACATTATTGTCAGGGCTCTAACTCAATACTGGATGGCAGATTTGTTATATTATTCAAAATAATTGTCAACAATTAAAAAAAGTCATCAGATGGTTTTAAGCTATGTTTCTGTGTCAGCAGATACTTATTTCGGGTTATATTCCAAGGACTCAGAAAATTTCAAAAAATTAAAAATTAAAATTATAGTTACACCTACATTGTAACAATAGTCAACAATTATTTCAGAATGAAGGCACTACCTCCAAATTTCTCGACTGCTCTCTCCACTGCATTATTGATTTGCTGTTCATCTCTCACGTCAACAACACACGGCAAGGCCTTTCCTCCAGCTGCTTCGACTACAAAGGATAAACAAACAAAAAAAGCATGAAAGCATTCAAATATTCAACTTCTCGTTCTGATACAAGAGTCAAAAGAAGTTAGTATCCCATTTTCAGAAAATCAATATAAATAACTATGTCTCATAACTACTAGCAACTCCATTCTACAGTAGGAAAGACTGACCAACCCATCTCCAGCTTCAGACTAGCTGGACCAACTCTATAAAAAACAAAAAATGGAAGGTAATTTTAAAAGAATTCTATTAAAAAGCAAAAAAAGAAAAATAATTTTAAAAAGCTTTATTATGGAAAATTTCAAAAGGATACAAAAAATATAAAGAATAGTAAATGAATTAGCATGAATCTACCATCTACTTTCAACGATTATTAATGTTTTACCAGTTGTTTAATTTGTTTCATTTATCTGCCCCTAATCCCATTTTGGTTTTTGCTGATGTATTTTAAAACAAATCCCAGGCATCATTTCACTCATAAATACTCCATATGCATTCCCCTAACATAACCACAATGCTATTAACCTAACTAATAAAACTAGCAATATCAACTGAACTGAAGTTGAAATTTTAAGCCCTCCCTCCTGATACTCTGACCCAAACAACGCCTTGAATATCAGCACTCAATAATTATTTGTGAACTGAAAGTATTAAAATGATGATTTGAGAATTGTGCAGAGAATAAATAACACAGAGAGCTTTTTCAAGTGTTCACATCATCCACCATTCAAGTATCTCCTCTCCGCTTCCACTCCAGCTCTCTGCTCCCATCCAAGAACCACTGCCCTCTCGAGACACGATTTTTAATGGGAGTCTCTCATATTACTCAAAACTGCTGGAGAGGGGCCGGCCCAGTGGCACAGTGGTTAAGTTCGCATGTTCTGCTTTGTGGCGGCCCGGGGTTTGCCAGTTCGGATGCTGGGTGTGGACATGGCACCGCTTGGCAAGCCATGCTGTGGTAGGCGTCCTACGTATAAAGTAGAGGAAGATGGGCATGGATGTTAGCTCAGGGCCAGTGCCAGTCTTCTTCAGAAAAAGAGGAGGATTGGCAGTAGTTAGCTCAGGGCTAATCTTCCTCAAAAAAATAAACAAACAAAAAACCAAACTGCTAGAGAAGAACAACAGATCCTAATCCCTACTCTAAGGTGTCAAAATACTTCTTTAGCCAGATAAAATTATTTTTAGGGCAGCTTTCAAACAGCTATAATTAAACTCTCCAGCAAATTCTCTACATATTAAAACCACGGGAAGGGCATTTCATGCAAAGGGCATTGTCACACTCACCTTCTTCAGCAGCGGTATAGATTGTGCCTGAAAGTCTGGGGTGTGGATGGGTGGTCTTCGCAGCAATGACAATATTTGCTCCGTCCTTTGCAGCTTTCAATGCAATAGCTTTGCCAATGCCACGGCTTGCGCCTGTGATAAAAACCGTGCATCCCGCTAGCTTCCTACAACAGAACAAGTGCGACCTTATTAGAAATCTCAACGTTTTATTTACTTACCAGTGTCAGCAATGCATGCACATTTTCGCAATATATGCTTCCCCCTCTGAAACTTTCTCTAAACCCTCTTCCCTCCTCCTCTGATAGTTAATAATTCTACTGGACTCCCATCGTACGATTTAGAAACTGTTTATTACAAATGCCGTTGGCCAGACTTGCTGTGATTTGGCAAACAAAATCTGCTCAAAGGAGAAGTAAATCTGAAAGAGAAATGAGGAATTAATAAACTACATAAACATGCATTTTCTTGCCCACTTTTACAGCGTTAAAGCTTATTTTTGGGTAGCAGGATAGTGAGTAAATTTTATCATATTCTTCAAATTTTCTACAATGAATACATACCACTTAAAAGAAATTATCTAAAAGCAAATAATTGCTTAATGGATGCTGATCATTGCTCATAACAGCGAGAGTGGAAACAACAGAAATGTCCATTAACTGATGAATGGATAAATAACACGTGGCATATCCAACCACCGAGGGGTGTGGGATTTCTTTTTGAGGATCATGAAAAGGTTTTAAAATTGATTGTGGTGATGGTTGCACTACTCTGTGAATATACTAAAAGCCACTGCATTGTATACTTTAAACAGGTGAATTGTGTGGTGTGTGAATTACATCTCAATAAAGCCATTACTCACACAAAACTAGGAGGCTGGCAAAGAACTCAGGGTATTGATCAAAAGCTTCTCTGAGCCAAAAGTACTAAGGAAAGTTCTCTGAGCCCATTCATTCTTTACATCCATCCACCTTCACTTTAAACTTCCTACTTAGTTGTTAGGTGAGAAGGAAAGATCTAAAATAAAGTCAGACAACAGAAAGGAAAACCACTTTCTTGTTTACTTTCTAAAGGAAATAAAAAAGCTTGTCTAAGGAGAAGGATGAAGTGAGTACAGCAAAAGTGACAATAACAAAGAGAAAGGGGGACAGTAACCAGAGACAGGCTTGTTAACAAAAGAACATAAGGCACTTGCCAAAATCCAGAAGATTACACTCCAGAAGTTAAGAAATCAGAGGTGAGTGTGGGAGGAGGATTTTAAAATAAAGAATAACTGGTTTGGTAAGAAAGAAGGGGATGGGGGCAGGCCCTGTGGCCCAGTGGTTAAGTTCACACGCTCTGCTTCCACGGCCCAGGGTTTCACTGGTTTGGATCCTGGGCAAGGACCTAGCACCATTCATCAAACCATGCTGAGGTGGTATCCCACGTGCCACCACGAGAAGGACCCACAACTAAAATATACAACTATGTACTGGGGGGCTTTGGGGAGAAGAAGGAAAAATTTAAATAATAATAATAATAATAATAAAGAAAGAAGGGGAGTGAAGAAGAAACAGAGAGGTGGCAACTATTTTTCATGAAATACAGCAAACATACCAAAAGCATATAAACTAATATGTACAAAGAACAAAATAAAATGAATACCAAGAAACAGAATAAAATATTACCAGTACCCCAGAGCCTGCCGTCTATTCCTCTCTAACCCAATCTTCCTTCTTCCTCCCCCACCCCACAAGATAAAAACTATAAACATTATTACTCATTCCCTGGTTTTTTACTATTCCTTTTCTTTGTTTTTTTTGAGGAAGATTAGCCCTGAGCTAACATCTGCTGCCAATCCTCCTCTTTTTGCTGAGGAAGACTGGCCCTGAGCCAACATCCGTGCCCATCTTCCTCTACTTTATATATGTGGGACGCCTGCCACAGCATGGCTTGCCAAGTGGTGCCATGTCCACACCCAGGATCCGAACTGGCAAACTCCGGGCGGCTGAAGCGGAACGTGCGCACTGAACCGCTGCGCCACCAGGCTGGCCCCATACTATTCCTAATACCTACATATCTACGTCTAAGCCGGGGCCAAATCCAACCCTCCATCTGGTTGTGGGTGGTCCTAGAGCTAAGAATGGCTTTTACAGATGAACATTTATGATCAATTTGATGAGAGGGAACACGAACTCTGAACCCCAATTAAGCAAAACATGATCTCCCTGTTACAGACTGAACTGCATCTACCAAGAGGATACGTGGCAGCCCTAACCTCCAGTGCCTCAGAATGTGACCCTATGTGGACACAGGGTTACTGCAGATGTCATCAGTTAAGAAGAGCTCAAACTGGAGGAGGGTGGGCCCTTAATCCAATATGACCGGTGTCTTGATAAGAGGAGGGAAGACTATGCAAAGACAGACACAGAAGGAGAACTCCATGTGATGACAGAGGCAGAGCTTGAAGTGACGCAGCTGCAAGGAGCGCCACCTACACCAGAAGCTGGGAAGACGCAAGAGGCAAGGAAGGATTTTACCCAGAATTTCAGAGGGAGCGCGGCCCTGCTGACATCCTGACTTCAGACTTCTAGCCTCCAGGACTATGGGAGAATAAATTTCTGTTTGAAGCCACTCAATTTGTGGTACTTTGTCATGGCAGCCCCAGGAAACTAATATGCCCTCCCGCTTCCCCCTAAAAAAAGAATTTCATTCTTCTCATGAGTAGATCTGTATTACAAAAATTATACTTGTTTTGAATTTTACCAACAAAAAATATTGTGGAAATTGGTTCTCTGTTGCTATACATACATCTCATATATATATGATGTTATATATACATCTCTTATACCTACATAGTATCTCCAACTTTGCCTCTTGCCCATAAAGCCTAAAATATTTACTATCTGGCCCTTTACAGAAAAAGTTTGGCTAACCATGGTCTAAATAATACACTGTTTAGCTTTTGCCTAATTTTGAATTTTTTCTTTTTTTTTTTTTTGAGGAAGATTACCCCTGAGCCAACATCTGCGGCCAATCCTCCTCTTTTTTGGCCCTGAGCTAACATCTGTGCCCCTCTTCCTCTACTTTATATGTGGGATGCCTGCCACAGCATGGCTTGACAAGTAGTGCATAGGTCCACACCTAGGATCCAAACCGGTGAACCCTGGGCCGCCAAAGCGGAACATGCGAACTTACCCACTGTGCCACTGGGCTGGCCCTGAATTTTATATAATAGACTCATACAGTATATGTTATTCTACGATTCACTTCTTTCATAAAACATAGTTTGGAGACTTACCCATGTTGGTGCAAATAGCTACACTTATTTTAATTAATATACAACATTCCACATATAAACACACTATAAATTATTTACTCATTCTACTGTTTATGGACTTTTGGCATGATCTCCAGGTTTTTTTTTCCTATTATGAACAATGTTGCTAAAAATATTCTTGTACCCTTCTTCCAGTCACATGTGCAAGAGCTTCTCCAGGGCAAATACCTACTGGTGAAATTGCTGGATTACTGGGCATTGCTGTGGATTAAACACGTCACAGATCCGCCAGCATTCCTTCCATCAAGAGGAGGGGTATATGCCCCCCACCCCTTGAGTCTGGGTCAGCTTTAAGACTTTTTTGAGCAATAGAATGTGATGGAAATCATATTCTGGGATTCCCAGGCCCAGGTTGTAAGACAGCTGGCAGCTTCCACTTTCTCTGTCTTGGAAGCCAGATGCTATGTTGCAAAGAAGAGGGACAGATTACCAACTGATGAGAGGCCAGATGAGAGAGGCCGTAGAGGGTGAGAGGCCTTTTAGGACATTTCAGCCCCAACCAAGGACCCAGCTGAATGCAGCCATATGAACGACCTCGACTTAGAGTGTGCAGAGCAGAAGAGAACCCAGCCCATCCAAAGAACTGTGGATAAAGATAAATCACTGTTGTTTTAAACCATTACGTTTTAGAGTGTTTTATTACATAGCAATGGATAAGTGAAACACACACTGAAGTTCAACTTTCCCAAATAATGCCAAACCTCTTTCCACAGTGGTGATATTCCCACCAGCAGCAATGTATGACAGCTCCCACGGTTCCACAGCTCCCTAACACCTGATGTCAGACATTTAAAATTTTTGCCAATCTGGTAGATATGAAATGGTATCTCACTGTGGTTTTAATTTGCATTTCCCTGATTACTAATAAAGTTGAATATATTTTCATATGTTAGTCACTTATGTTCCTTCTGTGTAATTCCTATGAATTAGTTTTGCTCATCTTTCTATATAGTTAATTTTTTTGGAATAACTCATAAAAGTCTATGAGTTATATATCTTTAAGACATCTTCTCATTTGTGGCATGCCTTTTCACTATCTTTACAGTATCTTTTGAAAAGGAGAAATTCTCTATTTTCTTGTAGCAGAATTTATGAATCTTTTCTTTTACAGACAACGCTTTTGGGGTTAAGAAATCCTTCCCTGAGCCAGCTCTGATGGCCTAGTGGTTAAAGTTTGGCACGCTCTGCTTCAGTGGCCCAGGTTCAGTTTCCAGGCATAGAACCACACCACTTGTCTGTCAGTAGCCATGCTGTGGCAGGAGTCCCATGTATAAAATAGAAACAGATGGGCATAGTTGTTAACTCAGGGCCAATCTTCTTCAGCAAAAAGAGGAGGATTAGCAGTGGATATTAGCTCAGAGCTAAACTTTCTCAAAAAACAAAATTAATTTAGGGGCCAGCCCAGTGGCACAAGTTCCCACATTCCGTTTCAGCAGCCCAGGGGTCGCTGGTTTGGATCCTGGGTGCAGACCTATGAACCTGCCTGCTTGTCAAGCCATGCTGTGGCAGGCATCCCACATACAAAGTAGAGGAAGATGGGCATGGAAGTTAGCTCAAAGCCAGTCTTCCTGAGCAGAAAGAGGAGGATTGGTGGCAGATGTTAGCTCAGGGCTAATCTTCCTCAAAAAATAAAAAAATAAAACAAATTAAAATGGGATGGTTGGAGTTTAACTTTTCTAGGTCCTTGTATTATTTGGGAGAACGGTAAAATTATATTCACTTTAGACTTCAGTAAGTTCTATATATGTTAAAAATTTCTAGGTTCAACACGATAAATAGAAATCCTAGACCCTGAGAGTTTTGGTAACAAGGATGGGATGCCAAAAGAGACATAATTTCCTGGAAGAAAAAGGACAAGAGCCCTGTGAGACAGGGTAAGGGATAGCAAAAGATTCCAGTACCACGCTCTTGCCCATGGCAACGGGGAGAGTAAGGATCTTCATCTGTTCTTATATTAAAGAAGGAAACCAACAAGAGGCAGGTATATACCGTAAGACACAATAGTATTCGAATTGCCACACTAATACCACCGCCAATAATAAATCTGCTAAGTTCAAGATTTCTTTGCACTTCTTTTTGTCTTTAGAATAAATCCCTCCAAAGGTGCATAGTCAAATTACTATGTTAAAAATTATTTGAATTCTTTCTTTTTCTTTGTATGTTAATGTGATAAATTTGATATAGCGCTAATCCCCTTTGTTTATATTGGCATTCCATTTTACTTTCTTTCTTTTTTTTCTTTTCTTTTTCTTTTTAAAGATTGGCACCTAGGCTAACAACTGTTGCCAATCTTCTTTTTTTTTAAGGATTCGCACCTGGGCTAACAACTGTTGTCAACCGTTTTTTTTTTTTTTTCCTGCTTTATCTCCCCAAACCCCTCCTGTACACAGTTGTATATCTTAGTTGCAGGCCCTTCTAGTTGTGGTAGTTTATTTGTTTTCCTCCATCTTTGGTAAGGGATGTTGTAAAACATGTATATGGTTTAAAAGTCAAAACCTTATAAATATGTACACTTAGAGAATGAACTAATCCCATGCCTGCAGGTAACCAGCTTCATTAATTTCTGGCTTATCTTTCTTGTATGTCTTTTTCCAAAAATCCACAAATACGCACACACATATATAAAACACATCGTGTGTGTGTGTGTGTATGTATGTAATTTTCTCTTCTTTTTTATACAAAAGACAGAATACATAGAGAATTAAAGTGATTTTTTTAATGTAAGTATTTAGATGAAAATGTGCCGACTATTGCTTTAACAAGCAATAACCCTTTGCCTTGGGTCCAGTTGGATGGATAAAGGACATTTTCCTGCTCACTCAGAATCTCAGGCACTGGTGGAAAGAAAGGCAAAGGCAGCTTCTCCTCTTAACCTGAGGCCCAAGTCTATCCCACAAAGGAACTCCTCCAGCTCTAAAGCATTAGGAGCAGAGTATGGAAGCCGAGAGAGAAAGGACCCAAATTCCGCCGTCCCATCAGCAGATGCTAAAACTTGCTAACAAAGAGTCAACTGACACCACTATTTACCAAAACTCTCTGGTACCTCAAAATCAGGGGGAAGGTGATAAAATTTTTAATTATTTTTAATAAGAAAATCACTTAGAAACTATACAAGCTATTCTAAAGTTCCTTTGGAAAAATAAACATCTAGGAATAACCAGGAAAATTCTGAAAAAGAATCCAAATGGGGCAGGAACCAGCCTTGCCAGATATTTAAACATTTTATAAAACTAGAGAAATTTAAATAGTTTGGTCCTGGCACATGAATAGACAGACCAAAGCAAGAGAATAAAAAAGTCAAGAAACAGACCCTCATAATACAAGAATGCAGTTTACGACAGAATTTAGTTTACGACAGAATTCTGGGGCCAGGCCAGTGGGACAGAGTTAAGTTTTCATGTTCTGCTTCAGTGGCCTGGGTTCACCAGATCGGATCCCGGGTGCAGACCTACACACGGCTTATCAAGCCATGCTGTGGCAGGCGTCCCACATAGAAAGTAGAGGAGGATGGGCACAGATGTGAGCTCAGGGCCAATCTTCCTCAGCAAAAAGAGGAGGATTGGCAGCAGATGTTAGCTCAGGGCTAGTCTTCCTCAAAAAAAAAAATAATAATAATAAAATGAAAGCCAAGATAAAATGAAAAGCACCGAGAAAAATATTTGTAACACATATGATATAGAAGGAAATTTTAAAACTCGAGCTCTCAAAGATCAAAACCTAATTGTGTAAGCCAGGCAAAGAAAAAGATACACACGTGGCTTTAAACTAGGATTTCTCTATCTCTGCACTATTGACATTTTGGACGAGATACTTTGTTGTTGGGGTCTGTCTTGTGCATTATAGGATGTTTATCAGCATCCCTGGACTCCAACCATTAGATACCAGTAGCATCTCCCCTCAATGTGACAAACAAAAATGTTCCCAGACACTGCCAAATGTCCCATGGGGGTCAAAATCCTCTTTGATGAGGAGGCATCTCACATGCCACAACTAGAGGGACCCACAACTAAAAATACACAACTATGTACCTCAGAGCTTTGGGAGAAAAAGGAAAAATAAAATCTTAAAAGAAAATCCTTATCCTTACTCACGATCCAAATTTTAACTATAATGAGGTGCAATGTTTTTTCTCCGATTAGGTTTTTTTTTAAAGATTCGCCCTGAGCTAACATCTGTTGTCAATCTTTTTTCTTTTTTTTTTTTTCTTCTTCTTGTTCTCCCAAAGCCCCTCAGTACATAGTTGTGTATTCTAGTTGTAGGTCCTTCTAGTTCTGCGATGTGGGATGTCACCTCAGCATGGCTTGAAGAGCAGTGCTAGGTCCATGCCCAGGATCCAAACCAGCAAAACAGGGGCCTCCAAAGCAGAGTGCTTGAACATAACCACTCGGCCATAAGGCCAGCCCCTCTAATTAGGTTTTATCATCAAAACAAACAATTTTATTATCAAATATTTTGCTGTTGGCCAACATGCTGGATTAGGAAATCTGATTCATCCTTTTGGGTGTGCATCCTCTTTGGAGAACTATTAGTATTAGCAGCTTCGGGAATTTATCATACAGATACATTTAAATATGTGCAAACAGGTTAATACAAAGATAATCATTGCAGTAAAAATGGAATAATAAAAATCTAGAAACGATCTGGTATCCAGTATTAGGGACCTGGTTAAATAAATTATGATACATCAATAGAATACTATGTAACCATTAAAAAGGAGGAAGATCTACATGCACTGAAAAAGTGTGTCCCAAGACATATTAAGTAAAATAGCAAAGCCCAGAAGAGAGTTTACTCCTATTAAAAGGGGGGGAGGGGGGTGTTAGGGTGGTGTATAAAATGTTTATAACCGCAACAAAAAATGTTTATAAATGCATAGAATATCTTTGGAAACATACCAGAGAGCCACTGGGGGACTGGAAGTTAAGGATGAGGAAACTCACTTTTGACCATTCACTCTTTTGAGCTGTTTAAGTCTTTTGGCCATGAGCTTGTATGTTTCAAGCAAATTACAGAATGGACATGCCACTCAGCTAAGACACCCAGGCTTTCTAGAAACAGAAAATAGAATGGTGGTTGCTGGGAGCTGAGGGGAAGGACACAAGAGTTGTTTAACCAGTACAGAGTTTGTTTTCCAGGCTGAAAAAGTTCCGGATATTGGTTGCACAACAGTGCGAATGTACTTAATACAACTGAGCTGTACACTTGAAAACGGTTAAGATGCCAAATTTTACGTCATGTGTATTTTACCACAATTAAAAATCTTTTTAAAGTGAAAAACATATACGCCCCAAAAGCTACCCATACTTTTAAGGTGTTTGTTACTAACTTGAAAATCACTTTCTAAACACCCCATTATTTTATTATTCCAGAATTGAGCGCTCGGAACAAGTGGAGACTCACCAGGGGCACGAGTGCTCCAGCGACCTTTCACCTAGAACTTGCACGCCTTCAGCAAGACACCCAGCTATTGCTAAACCCAAGGTAGGGCCCGCCTGGGTGCTGCAGGGTAACCAACTCTGCATCCTTTACCTGTGGAAGAGGTTTTTCCAAGGCTGCCACCCTAAGTACCCAACTTTGGGTTACTTTTCACGCGTTAACTGCAGATGGTAAGAACACGAAATGCAGCGCGGAAGAGCGCGCCCGGCAGCTCCAGTAACTCTCCCACCGCCGGGGCCGGGCCCCCGGGACATCCACTCCGGCCCCACCTAGCCGCGCAATCCCCCCATCCCCTTACCCGGTGTTGGGTAACATGACTTTCGTAGATCCCAGTTGATGGCGACAACAGCGACAGCGAGCTGGCAGAGAGAGGCGGATCTTCTCGGCGCATTTAGCCCCGGCCCCAGACCTCGCCCCCCGAGACCCCGCCCCAGGCCTGCAGGGAATGGGCGCTTGAAGAAGGGAGAGGGCGCTGAGTGCGCCTGCGCACGCAGCGGTCCTCCCTGGCGCTCCCCACTGTCTCGTCTGTGGACACCGGCTCCCTGCGCAAGCGCAGTGAAGGACAGCTCCTCCCCGCCCCTCCCCCGGGGCTCTGCGGTGACAATCGGGCTCCCGCCGGCGCCTGGCGAAGTGGGCACGTCAGCTGCTGCGTACGCCTGTCCCCGGCCTGGGAAGGGTTTCTGGTCGCAGCGCTGCCTTCCTGTGCCAGCGGGGTGGCCGTTTGAGTCCTGCAGCGGGGACCTTGAGGGCTGGGGTGCGGCTTCTCCCCCAACACACTCTGCGCTGGGCGTGCGGTGGCTCTCCGTCCTCCCTCCCTCCGTTCCCAAGCCGGGGCGCCTGCTGGGCTGCGCGCTCCCTCGGAGGCCCCCTTGGGAACGCTTTTCCCCGGCAGAAGCCGGCCGGCGTCGCATTTCGCCTCCCCCAGCGCATCAGGGCTAAAGCCGGCCCGCCCTCGCGCGCCTGTGGGTGGCCCGTGGTGAGGGGCAGCTCGTCCATCAGAGCTGTTTGCAATGGTCGCGCTGGAGAATTCGTAGTTAGCTCTGGTTTTTCACTCTTAGTCATTACCTCAGCGAAGAAACTTCCAAACTCAGTGCTGGAATGAGGTGACGTGTGGGATCCAGTATTGCTTTTGGTGGTATACTTTGAACATAACTCAGCTACCCTAAATGAACTAAAGACTGGCATATTTTTAGGGGAACATTAAGAAATTGCTTTGTATGTTTAAGGGGTAGAACAAGGTGATGAGGAGCTTGTAATATGGGGACTAGTTAAAGAAACTAGCCTGGAGATAGGGTACTACTCCCCCATTTATTACAAGGCGGAAATGGCTCTACTTCTTCATCTGTTATCACTTATCAGTATCCTATAGGCATTTGAATTTGCCATCCATGATATGGTCCTTAGAGACTCTGGAGGGATTTATTCAACAAATATTAGCACCTACTGCATGCAGATCACTGGAGATACAGCAGGACAGAGAGGACAAGGTCTCCACGCATATGGGAGGAATGAGGAGTAGCCACTGTGTTCTTGAGACTGTTGTAAATATTAGATATTTTATAAAGAGTGTTGATAGGGAATGTTAGATGAAAAAACCAACGCTCCACTCAAGAAAGTGAAAAGACAACCTCCGGAAGGTGAGAAAATATTTGCAAGTCATATATCTGATAACATCTGGTATTCAGAATATATAAAGAACTCGTGGGGCAGGCCCGGTGGTGCAGCAGTTAAGTTCGCACATTCCACTTCGGTGGCCTGGGGTTCACCGGTCCAGATCCCGGGTGCAGACATGGCACCGCTTGGCAAGCCGTGCTGTGGCAGGCATCCCACATATAAAGTAGAGGAAGATGGGCATGGATGTTAGCTCAGGGGCAGTCTTCCTCAGCAAAAAGAGGAGGATTGGCAGCAGATGATAGCTTGGGGCTAATCTTCCTCAAAAGAAAAAAAAGGACTCTTATAACTCAGCAACAAAAGGATAAACAACCTAATTAAAAAATGAGCGAAGACTCTGAATAGACATTTCTCTAAAGAAGATATACGGATGGCCAACAAGCACATGAAAAGATGCCCTACGGCATTAGTTGTTAGAGAAATGCAAATGAAAACCACAATGAGATTCCTCTTTACACCCACTAGGATGGCTATAATGGAAAATAATGTGTTGGCCAGAATGTGGAGAAATTGTAATCCTCATAGATTTCTGGTGGCAATGGAAAATGGCTCAGTCACTTTGGAAAACAGTTTTGCTGTTCCTCAAAAAGTTAAACAGGGCAGTCCCATAGGGTAGTGGTTAAGTCTGGCACACTCTGTTTCCGTGGCCTGGGTTCTCAGTTTGGATCCCAGGGAGGACATATAGCACTCATCAAGCCATGCTGTGGTGGCAACCCACAGACAAAACAGAGGAAGATTGGCACAGATCTTAGCTCAGGGCTTATCTTCCTCAAGCAAAAAAGAAAAAAAAGAGGAAGATTGGCAACAGATGTTAGCTTGGAGGAATCTTCCTCACCAAAAAATATTTTTTTAAAGTTAAACATAGCCCGGTGGCAGAGCAGTTATGTACGCACGTTCCACTTCAGTGGCCCGGGGTTGGCCGATTCAGATCCCGGGTGCGGACATGGCACCACTTGGCAAGCCATGCTGTGGCAGGTGTCCCACATATAAAGTAGAGGAAGATGGGCACTGATGTTAGTTCAGGGCCAGTCTTCCTCATCAAAAAGAGGAGGATTGGCAGCAGATGTTAGCTCGGGGCTAATCTTCCTCAAAAAAAAAAAAAAAAGGCATAAAGTTAAACATAGTTAAGCTGCCAGATATCCACATGCAAAAGAGTAATTCCACTCTTAGATATATGTCTACCCAAGAGATGAAAAACATATCTTCAGAATACCGCCAGATGGCACTGTTGCTTTATGATTCAAAATTATATGCTACTGCAAAATGTTAATTTATTTACAATATTGTGATATTAATATTATAATCTGACTTGAATTAAGGCAAAAATAGCATGAGGTTCTCTATAGGATTTCCTCCATAAAGAGGAAATAAGAAGAGGTATAAATTTTAAATCCCTTAAAAAAAATAATACTTTGATTCATTAAAACAGGATGTGATACTCTAATTCATTTTGCATTATTATTTAAATTGTCATTAAATAGTCAAACTTATCTTGTTTTGTGACTTCTAAATCCTATCAAGTGTAATTCTCCAATACTGTATTAAGTAATTTTCAAATACATAGGAGATTAAAAATGCTGTCTTAAATTAAGATATCAAAGGGAGGACATTGAAAACAAGTTTAATTTTAAATTACCACAAAAGGACTCGTAACCCTGACCTTGCATAAGAATACATTTTTTTAAAGTGTATAATACAGTAACATTCAAATTTGTTGACCACAACTCACATAAAAAAAGAAATTTTTCATACAGATCCAGTACACACCCAGTTTTTTATCTATTTTATTTAAATCTATTATATCCTATCCTGTTTAAAAAAAAAAGCTTCATCATAACCTAAGTTTTTTTGATGACTCATTAATGGATCATAAGCTACCTTTTGGAAAACGCTGCTTTCGTGTGTTGTAATTTGTTATTGCAATTTTTCAACTTGACTTTTAAGATATTCTAGGCATCTGCGGTCAGATATAAAATTACTAATTAATGGTCAGAGGCTAACAATACAATGTGACTAAGAGCAGATGCTTTCAATGGCTGTGGGAGAGTAAGAGATCTTTTGAAACTTTCCATTTCCTTCACCCACAAGACAGCCTAGCCTGGTTCAGAAGGCCAAATGAGAAATCCTTGGGGTTTTGAGGGTATAGCAGTTACTTCTAATAATGTACCAAATCTTCTGCATAGGACCCCTAGCTGCACCTTTGCTGCTCAGTGAATTATTGCCGGTCATGATTTAATTAGTAACTGTTGGATATTAACCTCATTGTTGTATTTTAATGTCTTTATTTTTCTGATAATACGTGATTCCAACAGTCTAGAGAAAGTGAAAGTTTACCTCTAATACCACCCTTCAGAGATAATCATTGTTAACAATTTAACACGTATCCTTTAAGACTTTGAAATGTTTATATAGATTTTGATCATTTTCAAAGCATAGGGAGATTATATACACTATATTGTTTTGGAACCTGTTTTTGTTTTACTTAATGTATCAGAGACATCTTTCCAAGGTTACACCTAAAAGTTTACCTTAACTTTTTTGTGTGTGTGAGGAAGTTTGGCCCTGAGCTAACATCTGTGCCCATCTTACTCTATTTTGTATGTGGGATGCTGGCACAGCATGGCTTGTTGAGTGGTGTGTGGGTCTGCACCCAGGATCCGAACCCACAAACCCTGGACCGCTGAAGTGGAGCTCACCAACTTAACCACTACACCACCAGGGTGGCCGCTTACCTTAACTTTTTAAAAACAGTTGCATCGTTTTCTTTTATATGAATGTACTTCAAATTAATTTTACGATTCTCATTTGTGATGGACATTTAAGTTGTTTCAAAATTGTCTCTATTATAGATAATATTGAAATAAAATCCTTTGTGCCTATATCATTGTTCACTAGTCATACTGTATTTCCCTAGAATACATTTCTAGAAGTGAGACTATTTGCTCAATGGGTATACACACTTAATACCCTTTAGCAAGGCAGTACTAATAATTTACACCAAGATTTCTCAACCTTGCCACTGTTTGACCTTTGTTGTAGGAGTCTGTCACGTGTGTTAATGTGTTTAGCAGCATTCCTGGCCTGTACCCGCTAGATGCTGTAGCTCCCCGCCCCCATATATGTGTTTACGTACATAACGTAATGTTTAACATTTTAGCCATTTTTAAGTGTGTAGTTCAGTAACATTAAGTACAGTCACATTGTTGTGCAACCAACACCATCATCCATCTCTTGCCCTTCCAGTTTTGATAACCAAAACTGTCTCTAGAAATTGTTAAAGTCCCCTGGAGGGCAAAATTGCCCTGGTTGTTTACGCCATCACAGAAGTGAATGAGAATGTCGGCATCATAAAAAATAGAAAAAGAAAAGAAAAAAAGACTGGGGATCTGTAATTGATTAAATAAGACTAAAAAGATGTTACAGGAGCTGGCCCTGTGGCCTAGAGATTAAGTTTGGTGTGCTCTGCTTTGGTGGCCAAGGTTTGGTTCCTGGGCACATACCTACACTACTCATCGGCAGCCATGCTGTGGTGGGTACCCACATACAAAATAGACGAAGATTGGCACAGATGTTAGCTCAGGGCCAATCTTCCTCACACACAAAAAAGAAAGAATGTCTGTGTTCTTAGTATGAAGTATTAAGGAGTAAAAGGAAATGAATACGCACCAACTGTCGTGTGTGTGTGTGTGTGTGTGTGTGTGTGTGTAGAGAGGATGCAAAAACAAACGTAGAAAAATGTTAAAAATTGGTGATTTGGGGTTAAGATATATGAGAGTTTCTTTTATTATCACAACTTTTCTGTAAGCGTGAAATTAATTCAAAC